TGATATTCTGGATGATATTCCCATCTGACTAATATCCATATCAATGGCTCTTAATAGTGGTCTATAAGATTTATCCACATCATCATCCATAATCCATCTTCTACAATCTGAGTTATAGGTAGTTATAGGATAACTATCTTCATCTATCTTCTATCATCTTCTATCAAAATCCTACAATTGCCTATAATAATTTTATCCATCATCTACAATCCATAGTATTGATAGAAACAACCATAAATTATCCAGAAATTTACTCATCCACAAAAAGGGTAAACATTTTTTTTTCTGATCGGAAAAAAAAACAATCCCACCATGAGTTGTGTCGATCAGGCGGCCGGGGAGAGTTGACTGGCATCGCCACTTTCCAAGCGTGTGCTGAGAAGCCTGAGGTCCCCACTCAGCCCACGGCTTGGGGATTTTCATGAGACTTGAAAATGGCATTTTCATGGCATTTTCATGGGTGACACTTGGTATTTGAAGGACCTAAAACGAGGATGCAACATTGTTCGATGAAACAACATCATCTTTAATCATCTATACGCCATTTTCCGCTATGTTAATTTGCTGGAGAGTACCTCATGCCATTGAAAAAGGGGCATGCTCCAAGGATACGCTTCAATCACGGTAGATGGATATGATGTTTCGTTTTTTACTCCTGGCCTTTACTTTGCCCGTTTTAGCACCCGTCAGATTTTTTTTTTCATCTTTTTGAGGGTTCTATCATGGAGTTTGGAAGGATGATTTTCGGTGTTTTTTTCGCAATCTTTAGGTTCCATGATTTACGGCCTGAATGGAGCAATCATCTTCCAAAATCTTCCAAATGGATTCATAATACTTATGGATAAATAAATATCTAATCTATTATTGGATTATGATTTATGCATATTTATGATACATGTTGTTCCCAATAATCTTCATCTTCCAATGTTCCAATCATCTTTATCTTTTGCATACGTCATTTTTGGAATCCCGTGAATCACGGACCAGCTGAGCTAAATCTCAACGGACTTTCCGGTCAGATGACCTGGCAATGGGGTCTCCCATCAGGATGAACAACTTGAATGGTGATTAATGGTTGATAATGATGGTCATTAATGGTTATGAATGGTTGCCAATGATTGGTGATCAATGGCGATTAATGGTTGAATAATGAGAATTACTAAATATATAATGGTGATTATATTATGGTGATGAACGGCGGTTGATGATAATTTAACAGTTTTCAAACTGGAAACCACCATTTTTAGTAAGCAAATCATTTGCAAATGGGACATTTTCCATAGCTATGTTGGATTGCAATTCGTGGGTAATCTTCAAAGTAAGTCTTCAGCAGGCAAAATCTGAGCCATCAAGTTTGAGTTTCACTTCAGAAACTGGGTATGTGAAGTATGTTATCAACAGTTATCAACAAAACAAATGCAGGTGTGCATAGAGGGATGGTCAAAACCACCATAAACCCGCTATTCTAGGGCCAGTGGCGAAGCCTGGCTGCCAGAAACATCCATAAAGAAGTGCTGATGTCGGGGATGGTTTACGGAATGGGGTTTGCCACATTTCTGTACATCAAAAACACATGACTATATCTGGTTGGTGGTTTGGAACATCAATTTTATTTTTCCATCGATTGGGAATTTCATAATCCCAACTGACTTTCATATTTTTCAGAGGGGTTGAAACATGTTGAAACCACCAACCAGATATGCTATATATAAAAAAACATATAAAAACGTCTACAGGTGGTTTCAAAAAATCCGGGGTTACCCTCTGGTAAACTAACATAGCTATGGAAAATCACAATTTTTAATGGGAAAATTCACTATAAATGGCCATTTTCAATAGCTATGTTAGTCATAACCAGAGGGTAACATCATTTCACCGTAACTCGTAAGCCCTTTCCACCAGCCAGATTTCCACCAGATGCCAGGTGCTGATGTACGAGGAACGAGGTGCAGAAAATTTCATCGCCGAGCGCCGCCGATGAAAATCTCCATATGATGTCTTTGTTCCCGGAAAAATCCATGGAAAATCAGTAGAGATTCCTGTCTGCTGTATATGATGTGATATTATGGCTAATCATGTGAAATGATATTAGAATCTTCTAATTAGAATCACGTGAATTTATGGGATATTATGTGATTTTAATATCACCATGGGATAAATTCCTGTCTGCTAATCATGTGAAATTCTAATTCTAATATTGCTGGGATGCAACCCATGACCCAGCAACCCATGACCCAGGCAGAATCTGTCGGTGCCATCCCAAAATGTCAACTGAAGTGGCAAGCTTTCCAACTCTGGTAGTCTGTGTCTGCGAAGTGGAACATCATCATCAATGGCCATTTCAGGAACCTAAATTGGAGGTACCTACCATATATAAGGCCTATTTTTTAGGCCTATGTAAGGGAATATCCCCACAAAATATGCCCTTATATGGTACAGTACCTCCATTTTAGGATCCTGGAATTCCCATTGACATCACTTTCAATCAGATTCAACAAGTAAATCCTCGAAGTAAATGGATCATTTTCCATGGCTACTGTGGATGCTTGCGAATTCCTGCACCAGTTGATAGGTCGTTTATCCCATTGTTTATAGGGTTCGAACCATCCTTTTGGTGGTGCAGGATTTCGCTGGCCCATCCACAGTGTGTTAAATTACCAAACAGTAGAACTGAAAAGGACCAAGCTGATCCATGAAATTGGCCTGAAACCGCGAAAAAACAAGGACGCCATCCTTAAACATACTTGCACTTGTACATATAAATTCACATGGGAGCCGATCGCAAATGCAAGTCTAAGAATTATGAAAGGGCATGTGTATTTCTTTATTTTGATCAACACCCATATGTACATATAACATCATATAACCCATCATGTACTTTGTTGTAGAATGTATTGATATTATCAATGGAGGGCCATCGTTTCCTTAACCAAACATCCCAAGGAAACAACAACAAAACCGTGGCAACGGACAACCACAACACATTGAATCTCATTTCGATGGCTATTTTCATCTATTTTCCCAGGCTCTAAACCCCATTTAAAACATATTTAAAACATCCTAAACCTAGGATTTCCCCCAGCGGAGCTGACGACTCCGCTTGAGGCACCATGAGTTTGGAGGGCCTTCCGAAGCCCGTGGAGGTCATGCATGGGACGGTTTTCTGCGGATTTCATTGGCGGTGAATCAATATTTCAATGGCCATTGGAACCGATTGATTGGAGGTACCGATTCCATATATAAGGCCTATGAGGTCTAAATTGTCAGGGAATATCCCCATTGAATAAAAAGGTGGGTTTATGATGGTTTATGAATATTTTTAAGGGCGGTGGACATATTTTTATGTGGTTTCTTTTCTTTTTTTAAAATGGCGTTTTCTTTGGTTTCTTTTGTGGTTACGTATGGTGCCACCTAAAAAGATAGAAGAGTAGAATCCCATGAGCACATCGTGGTTCATAGTGGTGCTCATAGCACGCTTCCATCTGGACTTCACAAAAGCTTGGCCTTCCCAAGCCAATGTGTGACAAGAAAATGCTGGGTACCACAATTTTCAGAAAACATCCCAGTTGGATTCAGTGATTTTCACCAAGATATTCCCATGGGATATCCTTTTCCCAAGCCACCAATTTTCAAAATCTGAATCCGAAACATAGTTTTTGGAGATACGCCAGATACATCTGTGTTTGTCTCAAAATGGGTCCACCATAGTGGCTGTTTCGAGACTCGGAAAATGAAGTCTTTAAACCACGCTATTTGGGGTGTCCAAGTTTGGAGCTTTCCGAACATGGTGCATGTTGATTCTGTTTTTTTTAAAACATTTTCGGTGGTGAAACCGTCAACGAATAGAATCAAAGTCTATATACGTAGAACATGTTCCCAATTGTGCGGAACAAATGAACAGATATGAGCAAATCATCCCTGAAATGGTCTTATTTCGACTGGATGGAGGAAAAATGAAACAGGGTTGAGAACCAAGAACAACAGCAATTGGCATTGTGAACTGGGGTTCTGATTAACAGCAATGGGAACTTCAACCAAACAAGCTGGAGAGATTGGAATAGTGAAATTAATCAGCAGAGAGAGATAAACAGCAAGAGACAAACCCGAAACAATGAACACGAGAGAGAAGAAGAAAGAAGAAACGATATCATAAAGACCAAAGGCAGAAAAAAGAAACAAGACAAAACAACAAAAGAGATAAACACAGTGTAAAATAAAACCCAAACACAAAACAATGAGAAAGAACAACAACAAGAAAGCAAAAGAGAGAAAAGGACAAGGACAAAGGAAAAGAAACTTCCTTGTTTGACACAAGATAAAAGAAACATAATATAGGATAAAAGAAAAATAGCAAAGCGGACCTGGGAGGAGTCGAACCTCCAGAATTTGCGTTTCAGCCTTGGCTAAAGAAGCAACACCGCACCCATAGGGCAACAGGTCCTACTACTTGACTTATCAGGGGTCACCCCTGTGCCTGGTTCCCTTGCCCGACCTCCTTTTTCTGGGGAACTAACCGAACTACAGAAACACCGTCAAGGACTTTGGAATCCACATTATTGTATCCATCCCAGGGTAGGTTTTGGTTGTAAATCCCCCGTCGGTCTGCAAGGTACTTTGAGGACAACGTATCAGGCTTAGCAAGAAGATAGATGAAGATAGTACTTGGTGGCTCATCCCACTTAGTAAGTGGGTTATAACCCCAGTTATAAATAGGATAAGTAGGGTTAATCCACTTATAACTGGGGTTATAACCCACTTACTAAGTGGGATGAGCCACCAAGTAGGTCCCCGTTTCGGCGGTTATTCCACCTAACTGCGGAAGGCCAGCATGGCCTGCTGGTTTTTATTCAGCTATTGCCCTTTTGTCGCTGAAAAATGCCCGATCGCTGCTGATCTCTGGGGATGTTCCGGTCAACACATGCTACCCCAAGCCATGCTCCCACTCCTTGCACCTTCCAGAAAACTAGGACAATGTCGAAATTGCTGGGTTTCCCTTTGACATGATCTACTTTATTCTACTTTCATGGTGGATTTTGCATCATATCTATGTTTACTGGAGTGCATCCCCCCCAAAAAATCACATCCCAAGAGGGGTTTTGAGAGCCGGGGGCGAGGCCTATCGCCTCTATTGCTTCAACACCGGAACCTGGCCGGTTGAGGTCTACTTTGTGGACGTGCGGGGTCCTGGAGCCAGGGAAAGATGGACTTTTTTCAGGCAGAAATGGATAGAACGGGGAGGTCTTTTGAAGATTGGACACCCAAGATGTCACGACTCAGGACTTCAATTTGTTTCCAAGATGAACTGCGACCTGAGTTTTTTTTGGGGACACCCACAGTGTTTTATTTATTCCAGAATTTTACTTAAACGATTGTTCCAGTGGAAGACCAGCTCTGCCCCATTTTTCGGGTCATCTTTCAGCGGATGGTCCACGAAAGGCAGCCGAAGTCAAGATGAACCGCTTGCCATAGACCAGATTTGGCAAATGGGTCCGGGATTTTGCTCAAGTTGTCAACTGGGTCCAATAAAAAATCCCACGAAATCGACATGTTGCATGTTAAAGTCACCATACCCATAGGATCCATGTATGGTATATATATGCTAACATTTGGGGTATATGGATGGTAAATGTCACCATATATATATATATATAGCATACATGGATCCTATGGGTATATCCCATGATTTTTCCCCTAAATCACCTGGACATACCTGTCTCTTGTGGAATGACTGCCAGCAGCCCCTGTTACGCTCGCCAAAGTGCTGAAATGCTGAATGTTACCATCTTTCCTTAAAATCCCGAATGTTTGTGACTCAACATATGGGTATGGATCAATACCTATTAATACCATTTTTAGGGGAATGAACATCCATTTACCAGCTATTTTGATGTTCACCAGGGGTACAAGGTTTTGACACACTGCCAAATCCCGAATGTTTGTGACCCAACATATCAAAATTATAAACAATCTGTGATCTTAAAAAAACCATTCATTCTATTCATTTCTGGTTCTTTAGTTTGGCGGTGATTTTTTAAAAGTAACCAACGGTTTTCCGTGGTGAAAAATCATGAGCCACAGAAGATCGTTCTGAACGTCGGGAGGTCGCTCATCCCAGTGAACTCACATCATCAGTGGCCATCTCATCCAGTAAATCACCAGAACATATAATAAAAAGCATCAACATATATTTTTTGATTTTTATCAGTGGCCATCATAACATGATGAAATTAGGATCTTTTATAATCTGATGACTTTCATCAGTCAACATCATAAGATCACCGTGAAACGCCACGTCTGTTCGCCGGTACCGCTGAGGATCCCACTAAGAAGCACCTGCCATCCTTGCTCCCAGAGCTAGCAGTGTGACTGGGCACGTAACTGGCGCACTGTCCATGGTTGGGTGGTCAGAACGTGGGGATTTTACCAATGAAAGGTTGAGTTTTTTGGAGGCAAATGATGGGAGTCTAGCTGCAAACATAGGGATTCTTCACAATCCGAACATGGGGATTCTATGAGCACATATTATAGATCCAAACATGGGAACTTTATGAGCAAACAAAAGAATTTCACAATCTGAACATTGGGATTCTATCCGTAAAGATGGTGATTCAACAAGAAAAAAATAAGGGTTCAACGGTTCAACAATAGACTCTACCCTTAGAAAGGTACATTCAATCATATGGAACCATGTTGAATCATACTTTACTACTTAGAAGCTAAGAAATTTTGCGTAGATACCAACCACACATGGGAACTTCAGCAATGATCATGTGAGAAACAAAAGCCTATACTGATATCTGAATTCGGAAATTCAGATAGGTATATCAATCCACCATTGATGAAAATCACCAGATTAATCCACTATTTTTTCCCATTGAATCCCATTGATTAGTCCACCAGGCATAGACAAATATCGACCTTGGTGATGATCCTGGTGGTTGAGGGCCGGCGAGAGTTGTTGTTGCGCATGGAGCACCCCCATTTACTATAGAGATATCAACCATAAACACGAGTTAGTATCTTATGTTATTATCCAACTCTTAAATACCCTCTGGTTATGACTAACAGTTCGCCATGGTTTTTCGATGGCCCTAATCGAAATAGATGGTTTACCTATATATATTAATAGCATGGTGGATCTTTCCAGTTCGCTATGTTAGTCATAACCAGATGGTAAATCTTGCGTGCGAGAAAAAATGAGTTCCTCCCTTTTCTCCCCCCGGCTACAGTCAATGATGACATGGCCTAGAAATCAATAAACGCCACAGGCTGCACGGTGGTTTCGGCGCAATCTCATGTGATGGGTGGTTTTTTCAAGGGAGCATCATATCCTAATGGCGACTATTTCAGGTGAATTGGAATAATTGAAAGTCCCGTAGTGCCCATAGTGACCTGAGAGGGTGTATGTTCATGTTCACATTTGGGTATGGATCAATACCTATTAATACCATTTTTAGGGGAATGAACATCCATTTACCAGCTATTTTGATGTTCACCAGGGGTACAAGGTTTTGACACACTGCCATTTCTGTTTTTTCAATTCTTGTTATTTGGTGGTCAACACACTGGCTCGTGGATGCACGGATGATTCATCACAGGTTCAGACCCATCAGTGTTCCACGTTAGGCACACGTCCTTCTTCGTGCCGCTGTCCTTTGGTTCAGGCGTGAGGGGCTGGTGTATAGAAGCGGAAATTGGGAGGTTTTTTCGTTTTTTCCCATAGACAAACTCGACAAAGCCATGGATGTTTACGGACTAGACCTTCCCACGATGGTTTCCTGGGGGGGTACCCCCATAGCTGGATGGTTTATTTCATGTAAAATCCGAACAAATGGATGATAACTGGGGGTACCCCCATTTTAGGAAACCTTCATGTAATCTTATTGTAAATTTGCACCATGTCTCCTGATATTTTTTGATATTGTGTTGTGAGCTCCATGTTTTTGAAATTTTGTGTGGCCAGCGCGTTTTCGGGTGACAAGGAAAACATCCTTGAAATTTCATTGCTTACTATTGAATTGTTCATTTTGTGTCCCTTATTGGGGTATTTGATAGCTTATCCCCATTTCAGGATGGTTTGACCATGTGAAAAGTCCATATTTTGATGGTCGCAGCCACTATGAAGACGATATGTTTGCTGGTACAGCCACAATTTTCCTGCTTCAATTCTAGTTTTTGAGGTTCAAAATGGTTCAACACATTTTCGGAACGGACAGAACGGATATTTCTTATGTTCATTTTAAACCACCATTTTTATCAGAAAGGGCCTTCGCGACCTGATGAAATTTGGCCCTCCCCTTCCCGTAGGTGACGCTGGTAGTGGCAATGCGACCTTTCAACACCTGTGCATTGATGATCTCTACAGTGGCTCGGCTGGAGATCCCTGAGATCGCCGAAAAAATCACAGATTTCTAATGGATTGATTCTATATCCCATAGGATCCATGTATGGTATATATGCTAACATTTGGGGTATATTGATGGTAAATGTCACCATATATAGCATACATGGTTCCTATGGCTATTTCTAATGGATCTTATACATTTCTATACTGTAACCCTATATCTACCTTTGATGTCTGGACCACAAATCCTAGTTGGCCGAGTGAACCAGCTTACCTATCTAGGTGGTGAGTCAGAACCTATCAACATGGCTGTTTTTGACAACAAAACAATGATTGATATTGTTTGATTATATGGTGAAAACATGTGAACACCCAGCTATGAAGGAAGCACTTGAACCTCCAACATCCCAGCCCCGAACCCCCCCGAAAAATGGATTCCGACTTCCTAGAATTTGCATGAATTTACCTCATAGAACATTTGGAAGATACATTTCTCAATTTGGAAGTAAAGATTCACGGTTTTCCGGTTTTGATTGTCCCATTTCAATTGGAGGATCTGACCACCAGCCACATATGAGGTGGTCACCTGAATGCGCTGACGCCTCAACACTTTGAATGGAACTGGTCAGTGCAGGGCCCCAACAAGGACGGGACGTTCCGGGACGGTTGGTGCAGGTGAGGGTTTCCATAGATAGGGGTACCTGCAACAGATCCATGTCAGGTTCGCCACTACGACTTCATGTTCGACCACTGGCCCTTGTCTGCAATGCTTGGCTCAGGAGGGGCCCCTTTTCTTTAATAGATTAGACCCAGCCTCGACCTATGGGCTGCTGACTTTGGACTCTGCGTCCAACCGGTGAAAACAGAGCTGAGCGCTCTTTTGCATTTGGTGTTTGAGTTTGAGCCCGACACGTTGCCACTGTGTGCCTGCTGCATTGGCAGCGGAGCACCTACGCTCCGGGGCCTTAGCTTCCTGCTGCGACCCGACCTAGCCTTTGTGACCTTGGCCGGTGTCTTGCAGCGGTGGACCTTTTGCCAAACGGCATCCCTGGACTTTTTGCACGAGCTTTAATTTTCATTTTAGCACTTTTTCCTTGAGTTTGACTTCGTGAAGGCGAAGTGGAGACTGACTTGATCCTGACGATCAACTTTTGCCTCAGAGCCTGCATTTTGCAGCAATGGCGACTCGCAGTGATGAGAGTGTTCCTTCATGGGATGGTCAGGCGAAAAACTGGCGTAGGTACACAAAAGAGGTTGCATGGTTTGTTGCATCGACCCCCACCAAAAAACGTAGATATGTGGCCTCCAAATTGATTTTAAGACTATCTGGTCCTGCTCGTCTTCTAGCTATGTCATGGTCAAGAACAGAGTTTGATTCTCCGGACGGTACCCTGAATCTTTTGAAGAAGTTAGCTGGTTCTCCACTGGTTCGAAAGACATTACCAAATACAGCTGCAATTCTTCAACAATACCTGGGATTTAGGCGACAGCCTGGTGAGTCAATGGCGAATTTCTTGGTACGTGAAACTTTGGGATATGAAGAGTTTTCTGAAGCTCTTATACGGCTATGGGAAGAACAGACCGGTGTTGACCCTGCTGAAAGAAATTTTGGTTTGCCACCTATTTCAGAATGGGATTGGTGGGATGATGACTATGAGTATGGATATATGGGGGGCATGGATGTCACTTCTGGTGATGCGGAACCTCAACATGAACCTGCAGCTACAACGGCAGCTGCATCCTCTCCTGAGCAAGGCGCTGAGCCTCCAGTAAGTGCGGCTCCTGGTTCCTCTCCAAGTCATCGAGTTGGTGCGGCCTCAGAAGTTTCTGCGCCAGGACCTGAATCTGATCCGGGAAAGCCCAAAATACCCCAAGATGTTTCAGAAGTTTCTTTGGCAGACTCTTTCATCATGGGTGTTCTACGTGGTTGGCGTTTGTTGAAGGCTGCAAGCCTTACTCCGGAAGAAACTAGGGACATTTTGTCCACCACCCAAAACAAGTTAGATTTCGAAGCCATCAGTCAAGCCTTGTCTGCACTTTGGGACGAACAGTTGCTTGGCCACCGATATTCACAACATGCTGGACGTCATGGAAGTTCTAACAATGCTCTATGGCATGAATGGCATGATGATGTTTGGGATGATGGCTATGAGATTAACTATGATGAGATGTGGAACTGGGGAAACGATGATGTTTGGTGGAATGATTCGGAATGATGGTCAATATCATGATGAATGGCATGAACATGAATGGCCCGACGAAACCTCCTCTGCCAAGGAAGTCCAGACTACCTTGTCACCAGATGAGGAAGAGCGACTTCAAGATGCTCTTCAGGCCGAGCAAGTCGCAGAACAGCTTGCTGCTGAAGCTAGGCGCACTTGGCAAGAGGCCCAGAAAACAACCCAACAACTGAAACGTGACCGAGGTTTTGGACATGTCAACACTGTCAACAATGGTCGTTGTTTCAACTGTGGTGGTAACCATTTGGTTAGGGATTGTCCTGATAGACGTCATGGGAACTACCCCAAGGGCAAGTTTTCTGGGAAGGGCAAGGGCATGCACTACATGATTGACCCCAACGATGCGTTCTTCCAAAACAAAGGCAAAGGCAAGAAAGGTAAGTCAAAGTTTTCCCACATGTCTGAACAGGAGATGTTTTGGAGCTCAAAGGGCAAGAGTCCTTACCATTCGAAGGATGGCAATGGCAAGGGCTTCAGCAAGAACCCAGTGAATGCCTATGCACTCTATGGTATGGAGCTGGCCTCGACGACGAAGGCACCACCTGGCTCTAGCTCCCTGTCTTCTCCAGCTCACGGCATGTTGGACTGTGGAGCAACCGCCTCTGCAGCACCTGAAGTTTCTGCCCAGGAGCTGGTGAAAGCTGTTTTGTCTCACGATCGACAAGCAACCGTGAACATTCTCTCAGCGCAGCGGCCATACTTTCGCTTCGGCAATGGGAAGTGGGGCAGAGCTAGGTACAAACTGGAAATTTGTTCGGATGTTTCTGGTCAAAAGAAAACGTTTTCATTGCATGCACTTCCAAATCCAATTGAGTTTTACCAGCCCAACTTTGACAAGTCACAGCTTGTTCCTATTTTGGTTGGCATGGACCATCTTGGTGCACATGGTTGTCAAATGTTGGTTGACTTTGGATCTGGTTTAGCGATGGATGGCGTTGATGATAATCCTGAAGTATATCAACTACCAGTCAATCCGAAGAAACACTATATGTACGATATTTTATACCATCTCACCCGTGGTCATACCAGAGCAGAAGGGCATGCACAAGTGAATGTTGTTGCTGAAGCTGATCCACTTTTTGCACAACCTGTTTTGCAGTTTCGTCCTCTTGATTTTTACACTACCCAGCAGACATGTTCTTCTTCCTCTTCTACATCCTCTCCTCTTAAGCATGATCGTGAAGAGCTGTTGCGAAAACTTTTTCGATGTGGCCACAACATGGCTCAGATGGGCAACCCTGTCGACAAAGAAGTTGTAGAAGCCCCCGCTCCTATCACTGTGACTGGCAATGGCGACCTCGTCTCAAAGCCTGGCTCCAGCGGAAGAAGCGGAGGTGCTGACCAATGTGAAAGCCAACGCAAAGAGCAAAGCATGTGCTCGCCCGTTGGACCCCGAGAGGACAATGTCTTACGACCCTCGAGACCCACGTGCTTCACCGGCGACATGGCCGTGCAATGGGAAGCATGTGGAGGGGAAGCCACAAGGCAATCCACATGGCGCTTGGGCCAATTGCGAAGTCTGTGCCCTCCGCCTGTGGTACCAGCCAAGGAAGGGATCTCCTTCCAGCCCCACCGTGGTCAACAATGCGGCGATGGTTCAGAAGGCCTTGATGCTGCTCCAGCCGATGCTTCGTGGTGCACTTCCGACGGAAGAGATCGTGAAAGCCATGCTGGACAAGATCACCGCGGAGGAAAAGCTGAACAACAAGATGCAGTACCTGCTGGAGAAGCCCAACGTCGAGAACTCCTTGAAGGTTCCAAAGTCCAAGGCAGCCTCAAAGAATGTGGAGAAGAAGATGGTTGTCACCATGGGCTACATGGACCAGAGCTCGCCGATGACAAGTCCTTCCGACAGCAGCTGGGATCCGATTTTGGATTCACCAGATCGTCGCAACCTGGAGGACTTCCTGACCGAGCAGGAAAAGATCGACTTGCGCAACCTGGTGCTTGCAAGAAAGGGGATGACACCACCCGACGAAGTCATCCTCACCGAAGAAAGCCAATGACTTCTTCGAGCCTACCTTTGACCACTACGATGGGCTCCAAGGTCATGAAGATGGTGACGATGATGACGGCAACTACGAGTCACCTCGCCTTGCAGATTGCCATGGATGGACGGGAATGTTTATGGGAGATTGCATGTGCTGACAACAGTTGGCTGACTCAAGCGGCTCTCAACCATGGTTTACCTGCACGAAGGATCAACTATAAGCAAGGTTTTGACCTCTACAAGAAGTCTGCATGGATGGAGATGGAACGCCAAGAAACTTTGGCTCTCACTACCGTGCACTCATTGGTGCCAATGGACCAATGTCAACTACAACACTGAAGAGCGCAAGGCGGTCCTCGAAGATCTTCGTCGACGAGACCGTCGAATGATGCACTATGCCAAGGACTTCATCCTCAATGCTGTTGATGATGACCCAGACACTGATGTGTACTGGGAGTGGACTTTTCCATGTTCTGGATGGTCTCAGCCTCCTATGGTCTCGCTGCAGCATGGACTTTTGCAACGTGGCCAATCATGGGAGCGCTGCAGAATTGATGGATGCAACTATGGGATGCGAAACTCCGATGATTCAGCGTTTCTTCACAAGCGCTGGGAGATCCGCACCAATGATGAGCTCTTCCATCGCAACTTCAAGTGCAAGGTTTGTCCTCGAAATCATCAGCATGCTCTCATACAGGGGATTGAAACAGCTCGCTCTGCATACTATCCAGTGCGGATGGTGGAAGCAATTGTGCGGCATTGGAAGAATCAACTTGCTCCTCAACGTCATGTACAAGCTTTGACTTCTCCTGACGCTGTGGTGCACTCCAAGCATGCAGAATGTGATGTGAAATGGACTCAACGTCTTCAAGCTCTACCTGTTGAAGAAGTTCTTCCTCCTGTACCTGATGATGGCGATTTGTCTGATGGATATGAACCTTCTATACTTGAAGCTCCTCAACATGGCGATGATGTCACTGAACAAGAACGACAAGAATGGCATGTCAAGCTGCAGCACTACCACCGTGCAGCAGGACATCCATCAAATCGGAACTTGATCCACCTTTTCCGTGATGCTGGTCTCCCCAAATGGAAGATCGAAATGGCTCGCGACTTTCGATGCGATGCTTGTGATCGACTTCTACAAGGCAGCAAGAGTTCAGGTGAAGTTCCAAGGGCAACTACTCACCCCTTGTGCAAGGCATGGGAAATCGTTGGAGCTGACTCCAGCGAATGGCATGTTCCCGACCAGAAGATCAAGATCAAATTCATTTTGCTCATTGACTTTGCCACCAAGCTCCGTGCGGTGTATGTGGTGAAATCGTATGGGCTGACGCAAATGTTGTCCGAAAGCTCTGAAGATGTCATCAAAGCGATTGCTGAAAAATGGTTGGCCGATAAGCCTAAACCTCGACTTGTTGTTCCTGACAACTCCTCTGTCTTTACGGC